AGACAAAATCAATTGATGTGTTTTTTTGAAATGAATGAATGTGCATGCTTGATGGTAAAATGACATTTTTCATGGTTCTACCTACCCCTAAAATGTCATTGCTGGATGGAATAAGCCCCTCAGCAACGCCCAGCTGTCCTTCCCCATCTTCTCGACCTCTACAGAGCAGTGATTCGGGCTTGACCCAACGACAGGCGAAATCGTATTTGAACATGACAGACCTGGGTACCTTGGTTGAAATAACTAACAACAACCATTTTAGAGTGATGTTTAAAAATCCAAGATGCGACTTTTACCAATACTTGAAGAAATAGATCAACAAATGACCAACCCCTTGGTGGCATTAGCGTTGAACGTGCGGATGGCAGGCCATCGAACAATGGCACGCTGCTCCTTTCGGTTGCCTTCACACATCGCAAAAGATGGTTGAAAAGATTCCAGTTCCAAGCTTAAAACCGCTCCTTGCACTGTCCACTCAACCACCCTGATTCTGTCCCACAGAATCGAAATGCCCCGTTGGACTTGTCTCTGAATCCTCCTCTCCTTGAGCTGCATCAGGATCGTCCGGCGTCGTCCGGTCTTCCTCATCAGCGCCAGACAGTACAGTAAGCATGGTCCAAACCTCTCAGTGTTGTCCAGGGCTTGTTGAACTTGAACTTTGATGTCAATCTCCTCCCAGCCTCCAATTTGGCTTCGGCTGAGAAATCCTTCTGTCTCCCACACCATGGTGACACAACTTGCCATGTGAGCATGCGAGGATCCACTCGCTTCAGCAAACGATCAACTGAATCATTTGAATCAGCCTTGCAGCTGATTCTGCTCTGTGATCTCAGCCAAATTCTGGGGGAACTCTACCACATTCTCTTTGGGAATTCATGTTATGTTCCAACCAAGTGAGCCAAGACTTCTCTGATACCAAGTTGGGTGCGCCCCTACAATGAGGAAGCAAGGGATGGGGATCCAAAGACAAGGTCTTCATAATCTTTTCTTCAAAACATGCCTGTTGTGGGCCACATGCGGGAATTCCGACTGGTCATTATAGGATCAAAAAAGCCCAAGACCCTCTGTCGTCCAAGGCATCTCCAAACCTACTTGGTGTATCATGTTGCTTGGGTTCCCATATTGGCAGGTACTGATACCGCAATCCCCATTAATTGAATTAAATGGGCCCATTAAACTAAATCAATTGGCCCAGCCGCTTTCCTACCATCAACCACTCCTCCTTATTTATGAAATATGACTAATTATAGCTTTTAATTACTCCTATTGAATTTTTGCTATTGCTTTTGAATTCTTTTCAGACATATCAATCCCCATTCTGGTTGATTGTAACTCCACATCACTGCACAAGACGTGTCTACCCCCATGTTTCGTTCAACGATGCTCCGCTTAGAACATGCCTGGCAGGTGGTCGAAGATCCGTCCCAGTTGATCGGCCTTGCGCTCCTGGAGCACCAGTCCACAAGGGTTGCGGTGGTCTATCCATGCCCTAAATAAGAGATCTGTTTTTTTCTCACATGAAAAAATATATTGGTGATTCTGTCATAATTACCAGAATTACCAACTTAAAACATCAAACATGGGTATGATAAAAAATATTAGATGGTGACGACCCACCCCAATGGTATGGCGCATATCTGGCTGACGTAGAAAAACACAAACACACACACACGTGTATACGCACATAATCGCTCACAAACCTGAAGAGTTGGCAATCTCCTGGCAGGATTCATCCAATCCTGACCATCATCTAGACCGAGGTCATGTTGCAAGGGTATAGCGCACACCTGGGGTATGATATGGTGATAACCTACTTGCGAAGTGCAGTGCAGGTGCAAATAGGCAATGGTTATCGGTTGGGTCACCCATATTTCGGCATCTATAAAACATGATGATGTGGTAAACCGTTTAAAACACACGTACAGATAAACCGTGTTTGTTTGTTATATATGGGAGCTCAACATTTTCCAGAACTTGAGTTCAGTTCTTTGGCAACTTCCGTTGAATGATGGGTTCTTCTGACAGCCACTGCTTGTTGTTTCAAAACGAATATTCAAAACTAATGCCAAAAAGAGACCGAACACCAAACACACCCCAGACCACCAAGAAGATTGGCGTGGCATGAGGGAATCCATTTCGGGGCTCAACATGTTCAACCACTTTCATCCATCCCAAATTACCAACATTGACCAATCAAAAATATTTTCACCAGCCAACTGCAAACCAAACCCCTAATCATGAAGTGGGGCCAGAGCCACCCCTCAACCAACAAAACACTACTGTCTCGGCTCACCTACAAAATCAAAAAGATCATGAAGTCCAACCCAGAATATCAGTGGGAGTCAACATGATTGACCCTAGACATGGATGGCTGAACACTCATTCCTTGTGTCATCAGTCCCGCACAGATTAAAATGTCTTCTGGCTGCATGAAAAACATCCAAATAATTACCTCTAAATCCAAGCACTATAGGCATATATGATATCATATATTCCACAAATATGGCTCAACTTAGAAAAACAGTCGCCGGATATGAAACCTCCCCCCAGTCACAGCACCAACCCATCACCAGTTGCTTCAATTGCCCTGCAAAAGAGGTCTCGCTGACAATCCTCCGCACCCCGTTGGGATATCCCTAATCCCCAAAGCAATTTGGTAAGCACAACTATAAACCGTCCCCAAAGTCAAAATGGGTGGTATAACCCATTTCCACTTGAAGGTTTCTTGATGGACTTACCACGTTGCGGTTCATCCCATTTTGTGCTTCCCAGGTCAATCTTCACTCCTACCCGGTCCCATCTCCAGGTCGACTCTCCAACCCCTTGACCTGTCCTTACTTTTGCCCTTGCCTTTGCCCTCACCACCTTTGCCCTTGCCTTTGCCCTTGCCTTTACCGTCACCTGCAGCCGGAGCTGCCCCCGGTTTGGACGCCAAACATGACAATGGCAACGTGTTGACATATTTTGGTCTACTGTACGGCCCAAATTTTGGGACACGCCACAGCCCGGATGGTTGACACTACAAAATGGTCCATTATACAGCAATCCCCATATGAAGTCTGTCTCCGACTAATGGCCCCCCACAAATTGTGGCACAAATGGCCTATGGCATTAGGCAGGTTCTGGATGAACACAGAACAGCTGAATTATGAAGGTGTCAGGGATGTCAATCAGCGGGCCTAATTTGATCTAATTTGTAGATGGGACACAGGTTCTGATGATCCCCCCGGAAATAAAGTGCCAGACCGTGCCTGTGTCATCATCTTTCCCAACGCTGATGTTCTGGAAACGCTTTAGCTGCAGAATGGACCCAAGAACAACCAAAAAGTCGGGGAGGGTAGAAACATGGGTGATGTGCAACTACTTCTCAATCAAAAGAAACATTTCAAAACACCTTTGAAATGTACTGGAGATTCCTAGTTTCTGAGTGCATGGATCACATGAAATGAATTCCACCATGCTGCGGACCGGCTAGACCGCACTACACCGCATGTTTGAGTTTTTAGTCCAACTGCTGCCAAACAAACCAAACAAACATAATGCCCCTGCCAAGGACTACTGGTAGAGTTTGGTCCATCATGGGCTGCTTTCCTGGTCAAAACTAGTTGCGGCTTGAACATTCCAGCATGATCCAACTAGCAAAGAATAGCCGCAGTTGAAACAATTTTCGACCTTCAACCGACCTTTCGTGGGGAATGTTTGAGTAGGCCTCCTTCATGGATCATCCCAGCAGGCGGAGATTGCATCCAAACTGTCGGGAAACAAAACAACTGGACTCATAGACCAATCCCCCCGATTAAAATCCAGTCAGAAAGCCCTGGTTTAGCACTGGCCCTATGGCCTTATTCATTGCGGGGGCCATCTGGGGTGAATATGAAATGGATTGGACTGTATTACATTAAGACAATCAGTCCTTCATAAGGGATGATGACAGGACACACGATGCAAATTAATCCGAAGGTAAAGTGCAAAAAATGCAACAAGTCACACGTGCATGTGACATCTTGTGACATATTCCTTGACATGCGCATTGCAATTAATATGTCTGTGAAAACGTTTTCTGAATAACGACACTATCTTTTTGAGGCAATCCAATGCACTTCTTGAGTTTAAGAGTTCCCAGCCATACCTTGGGATAGTGAAGGTCTGTGAAGGTTATTGATGTTATTGCTGGGGCCACTAAGAACATGGTGATCCAAGTGGCTGGAATCCTGGGGATGGGCCAGGCCGGATTCTGCCTGCATCATGGAGTCCACCATCACAATGCTTGGAGAATCAATCCGCACGTCACCGCGGACCACGGCAACAATGATCAACCATGTCTTAAGATGGAATTGTTAGTGGGAAGGTTAAACGGGAATAAAGGATGAAGGATCGAAAAAGGGTTGGTGGATAACATCAACCTTCCATCCACAGCAACCCGCTTCACTCCTTGAGCAAGCTATCCACGGCTTCTGCTTCCTCGTAGTTTTCGTGTTGGGCGCCCTGCAGTTGGAGAACAATGATGATATGACGTGCATGCAAAAAACGGAGGGCATGCAATCCTTCATGGCCCACATTTTGAGTTTTACGTGGATAGGTTGGCAATCTTCAGTTCGATAGATTTGTTCAAGATGACTCTACATATCCCCATTTATTTAAGTACCCATTATCCTTATTGATCAAATTCCCGAAGATCATGGCTTCCCACTAGAAACCGCCAAGTTTCCAAAAAAAACAGTTGGCTGGTATTGTATATTGTCGCAACATTTCGCAACATTTAGCATATACTGTATATTGTAGATAGATACCGGGTATGATCTGTGGTCCTTCTGTGCTGGCAAACCAGTCAATTTTTGAAAGCCAACACATGTCACAAGAGTGAGAATATTCACTAATTCAATGAGTTTCCTGCGAAAAGACCCAGGGTAGGTAGGTTTCTACTGCTTGATATTTCTACACATGTCAGACACATGATTTATTTGATCCGCTGCTGATTCAGATATCTGGGAGATACAACAAATACCACATTTTCGGTCACACGCACAATCACACACACAGATGTGTTGATACACTGCTGTTCAAAGCACCTCCGGCACCTCCTGCCCAAACAGGTTTCCCGCGAAGTTGTGGTATGCCCATATGCTCCATGTATTGTATATCCACCAACACTTATCCCAATGGCCCAAGTGTAGGTAAATATCCCAGCACCATGGATTATTCTTGGAGATTTCCAACGTCCCAAAGCATCTGTCAGTTGTGGTCGGGCCTCGGCGGAGCCATTTCTGGTGGAAGGAAACCCTGTGCCGCCTTCCACTGCCGAGCCCTCCTGGTGTCAGGGATGGCCAGTTGTTGTGTTTTCCTGATCCACAAGACATGGAAAAACGGAAATCCTAAGAGGATTCCTATATCCATAAATCTCACTAAGAAAACATATGTTTGACAAAATGGATGTATGGATGTTGGGCATCCAAGACGTATGTGCAAAGATGGAACTGTTGCAGCCAAGAAACCATATTATTTTAGAGGAATATAGCGCCGGACAACTACTTAGAACATCGTTTTGGAAATTTTTCGGTGGGTACGCGCGCTCTACTTAGAACATTTTCGGCGAATAGGGGGACGTATGTTCTAAGTGACTTAGAACATATGAGGATCCTCTACTTAGAACATGCCATCATATATACATGTAAATATATGTATATGTATACATACATACAACTTAACACTGCATATTTATATTATATATACAGGTGGTGTGATGT